GGGCAATTTGTGGTTCAAAAACTGAAGTTCATGGCTGATAGGGATGTGCACGACCCACATTTTTACAGTTTGGTTCGTCGTGGCTGAACCATGAACTAATACATTGGTTTGCAGACTGAACTGGTTTGTACGAGTTCATGGCTCGCCACCACTTTTCATCGGGACCAGAAAGCTGGGGTTTAAATGGCTTTGAGTCATTTAACTCTTTGCTTTCTACTCCCTGCCAAAAGCAGCAATAAGCAGAAAGCAGAGTTAAATTGCTCTGAGCCATTTAAATCAAACAGCCAAGTGGCAGGGAGCGGAACCACCATGAACTACCTTAAAATTCATGCAGAACTGCTCGCCATGAACTGCCTTAAAATTTATGAAAGTTTGTGGCGGCTCTTCAGTTTATGAACATTGCTTTGTCAACCATGAACCAGCCAAAATTCATAACAAACTTTTGTTTGTGAACTGCTTCATACCCATTCCCAGTGGCGGGTCAATTGACATGAACTTTCAAGCAGTTCTTGGAGATTTGTGCCAGTTTGTGAATGGATACATTTTCAGACAGATTGTCTCTTCTCATACAAAATGTTTACCAAAATTCAGAGCAACAAAGGGGGGTGGAAATCTCCAGCCTTGGAAATACTCTTGTCAGTTTCAAACTAATACTGTCAGTTCCAAGAGCCCCCCCCCTTGCTGGAGTTCCTTTGGTTTCTCTTGCCCTTTTCTTGCGCAAAGCTTGCTAAATCCCACCCTACTTGCTTGGATTTGTGACTGTACTTTGAGATCAGTCCTTTTAAGCTTGCAATGTCAGTGGTACTGGGTTCTGCTGGGTATTCTGTACACTTAACTGGTTGTGCTGGACTTGCAAAATCCCCCCTTGCTTGGATTTCTTGTGTCTCTGCTTGCAGTGCCACAGTGGCACTAGATTCTGCTGGGCATTCTGTACACTTAACTGGTTGTTCTGGGCTTGAAAAAATCTCTCCCCCCTTTCAGTTTGTATTGCAGGGATTCTCTGTTTTGACATTAGACTTTTTTACTTTCATTGCTACAGTGGCACTGGGTTCTGCTGGACATTCTGTACACTGAACTGGTTGTGCAGGGCTCGCAACCCCCCCCCCCCGGATTGTGATTCTGTACTTTATATCAGTCCTGTTTAGCTGGCACTGCTACAATGGCCCTGGGTTCTTCTAAACACTAGTGCAATGGTTCTGCTGGGCTAGCACACACACCCTGTTGGAGAGTGATTCTGTGCTTCACAAATGCTTGTTGAACAGGCATTGCCACAATGGCACTGGATTCTGCTGTGCATTCTTTGATTGCATTGGTACTGCTAGGCATTTTGTACTCTGTACATTGCACTGGTTCTGCTTGGCTTGAAAAAATGCCCACCACCACCTTCAGTTTCTACTGCAGAGATTCTCTAATTTTACCTTAGTCCTGTTGGGTTTGCACTAGTCCTGTTGGGTTTGCACTGCCACAGTGGCACTGATTCTGCTGGCCACATTGCACTGGTTCTACTGGGCTTGCAAAAATACCACCCCACCTTCAGTTTCTACTGCAAAGATTCTCTGGGACTTTTATTCTGTTCTTCTGGGCTTCTATTGCCCTTGCTTTTTTGGCTGTTTTTTCTTTTATTGGAAACAATGGAAGATGGGGCACCTTCTTTGGGAGGCCATAACTCAAACCATATAAATGCAATCCTCACCAAATTTGGAGGGCAGGTAGAGGAGAGTCAGCTGGAGATCCCCCGTAAGTTTGGTGTCTCTAGCACACCAGCTGTGTGTGTTTCTACCGCATCATGAACCTCACAAACTGAACTGGTTCATTTAGCTTTTAAAAGATTGTCATGATTTGTGGTTCACGAACCGGGCACACCACGAACCATCATGAACCACATTTTCCTGGCTCATTCTTCCCACAGCCAAAGAAAGAGAAAGGTGTGTGTGTACAAATAGCAGTAGAGTATTTTATATATACCTTCTTGAAAAAACATTCTTTGTGAAAGAATTGTGCAAAATTGTCATAAAATGTTTAAGAAGTTATTTTGAAGTGAATGGTATACAATAGCTGCAGCACAACATGGAGTCTAGTGCATGAATGATTGAGTAGCTTGGCCTATGGTTGAATGGATCTAAAGGTCTAGTCACTTGGACTTTTAATCTCTTCTTTATTATTTAAAAGTAAAATGACTATCAAGCAGTTGTTCACTGGCTTGAGGTACATTGGAGGGTTGCAGCATGAGTGGCAGATGTAGCTATGCTGAAACCTTTAGGCTACCTTTAGAAGAAATGTTTGTAAAACCACCCACAAAGTATACACGGAACCCATCAGCAGTAGTAGTGTTTAGGAGTACCTCTCACTGGTGTCATTAACTTTGATTTTTTTAAATTGAGTTATGGGTTGGTTGCCATGATAGTGGAACACCTGGATTTAAATTCCTGTGCAACCAGGACTGACCTTATCACTATAGGGTAAGGCTACATCTCGAGAGCCAAGCATACACTTTCAATGCAGTTGGTTGCAAAATGCTTATTCCCCAAAGAAGATTTAGGGCATTTCCACATGTGTAATTTCCTCACTTGTGTACCCATATTATGTTGCTGCTTTTTGTTTTTCTGCACGCTTTGCTCCCTTTAGCAGTTGCTTCGATATTTCATCACTATATCTTTGGCTTATTTATGAGCACAATTAAAGCGCTCGTAAATAAGGCGGAGACACAGCAATAAAATATCAAAGCGCCCACTAGAGGGAGCAAAACAAATGCGAAAAAGAACCCAGTGAAAAGAATTTGGGAGCCAAATTAGATCAGGAATGGCTATAGCAAATTTTGGGCACTCTGGGAAGACTACATGTCTCAGAATCCCTAGCACCTGGAATTGTGTTACAGCAGCATTTCACCAGGTACCAGGGAGGGAAACAGGCTGCCAGCCGTTTCATTACTCACACAGGTAAGTACATAGATGGAGACAGAGAAGAAGAGTCAGAGGAATAGTTCTCCTTTGTCTTGGCTTATTGTCCAGTTCAGTGAAGGGCTCTGCAGGCTATAATTCCTATGAGTCATATATTATGAAACAGGAAATTTGATACACCCCCTACCCTTTTTAAATAATATGATGTAACAGTGAGCAGTGCTCCCTCTAAGCTACGGAGCCCTGTGAGCAAAAATTCTACTTTGCGAGCTACTCACATTAAAGTTGTGAGCAAGCGATCTGGCTACTGGATGAATTAGTTTGCTCTGGAGCCCATCCTTCCTGAGCTAAGGCAAAAATGTGTGAGCCAGAAGCTAGAAACCTGCGAGCTAGCTCACACTGACTCAGCTTAGAGGGAACACTGCCTCTGACTGCAGGCAGCCGTGTAAGGCCATGGCTATTTGTATCCTGAAACAGGAAATTAAGAACTTTGGGAACATGGTTAGTATTTGTGTTTTTGCTCAGTGACCAAAAAGTTATCTCTCACACACTTCACCGTAATCTATGATTTCAGCTTTCACACTGGCTTTAAAAGTGGCTATATTTTGTGTTGGTAGTAAATGTGCATATAATGTAAATAAGCGATGGTTGTCCACACACTGAATTTCATATGATAACTTCATAAAATGCAATTGGTTACATTGGTGGGAGAAAAAAATTGTAAGGGTGCTAAGCTATTCTGACAACTAAACGCACTGGTTTCTACAGCTTGAAGGGTAGAATCCAATCAGCTTTTTCAGGGAGTCCTCCTCCATGCTACATCACATAGCCTTTTTGTTATCAGAGAGGAGCCCTCATTCCATTTTCACCTGCAGAAAATCTGGTTGGACCCAACCCAGAGAGCTTGGGATGCACACATCACTGCAAAAGGTGAAACCAAGTGCTTTCAAAAGCCAGAAAGCTGCTGAGCCATTCACCGGTTATAATACAGCCTTTGTCTCTGTTCTTTCCAAAAAGAGCATCGGAACTCTGTGTCTGGCCTCAGCCCCGGTGTTATGTTCCTCTCCATGACCAGTTCCCACCAAAGTCTTCCCAAGTCATCTTGGAACTTTGCTTCTTTGCCTTTTGTGCCCTTTGATTCTCATAACACTTGGCTAGGCTTTCTAGCGCAGATCTTAGAAGAAGGCTGGGTCATAATCTCCATGTCCAGTCCATTCAGGCACAAAGCGGGGGAGAGGAAAGAAACTGTATCTCTCCCACCAGCCTCCCAAATCCCTCTCCAAGGGGTCCAATAAAAACTTTGACACAATAGGAAATGGGTAAATGCTTATAATAATATTCAGTTGGTTGAAACATAGAACTTGAGACAAATCACTATTAATTATAAGCAACTTTTTAATCATTTTGTTTGCAAGGTCGTTTTCCTTGCCCTTCAACGCATGGTCATGAAAGGAAGGACATGGGTATTCTCAGGGCTATTTTGGGGCAGGAACGCACAGGAACGGAGTTCTGGCTGGCTCCCAAGTTGGCCACACCCAGCAGGAACTCATTAGCATAATAGGCCACACCCAACAGCAGAAACTCATTAGGATTGGCTACATTAGGGGTGTGTGGCCTAACATGCAAAGGAGTTCCTGCTATTAAAAAAGTCCTGGGTTTTGACAACAAACAAGGTAAACAGAATAACAAGCAAAAGGTGGGTGTGGCTGGATAACCACACTTCTGGTAACATGGGGGTGCATCCTAATGTGCTAATGAGCTGTGCTGGCAGGGGTGTGGCCTAATATGCTAATGAGTTCCTGCTGTTGGGTGTGGCCTGTTATGCTAATGAGTTCCTGCTGGGCTTTTTCTACAAAAAGAGCCCTGGTTCTGCATCAGATCTCAGAAGTGCAAGGTGTCTTGCCTGAGCCACAGTCCCATTATAAGCTATGTATAACATGTTACAAATAACATGGAAATGTTTCTTTCATGACCCATGTGGGGAGGGAAGCTCATGTTCTGGGCCCTGGATTATTGGGCAAGTACAGACCAAAAGGGTACAGGCGTTCAAGAACTTAGATAGATTATTCCGCCTGACTTGTTTTTGATCTTCTTCCCCTCTAGCCATCAAGCCTGAGATACGTAGTTCAAAGAAACCCAACAGCCTCTCGAACACCACTTTCCCACCCTTCCACAAGAAAACCGATGAATACATGGTGAGATATAAGCTGCTTGACCAGAGAGGAAGAATGAAGAAAATTGAAAATATTTCTCAAAACTGGAATAGAAAATAGAGAGGAAAGTTCTGCTTTCCTCCTTCTTTTCAGTCACTGAAGGAAAACATTTGGGAAGATGTACAAAAGACCAACACTTTAAAATGCTTTGAACTCTAAACAAATTATGAAATAATCCAAAAGGCAAGTATATAATGTAGAAAAAGAAAATCCGTGGAAAGATTCTCTAGATGCATTCACCTTGGTCCACCAAAGACGAACTGAATGAAGACGTTCAAAACCCACAAACCAGGCATACAAAATCATGCTGCAAGGGGCAATACCTCTACTGTCTACAGAGCAACCATTTCTGTACACAGAGCATCTCACACACCACAGTCATAACCTTTTGTACACCCAAGAGCAACTTTTAACCCCCTGGTGACAACACGGGACCCACTAAGTTGCCAGCCTGTGAGAGGAAGTCATGTGATGATGAAGTCATGTGACATGAAGGGGGGGCAGAGTTATGATTCCATTGATGTCCAGATTAGGACCATGGATAGCAGACCAAGAGACCCAGGGACAATAAATACAAGCTGAGCACCAAGAGCTACACCACAGTGAGAAGCAAGCTAAGATCAGAGCCATGGAACCCTCTCCATTGCTCAATGACCTAGCCTCACTGTCCCACTGCTTCTTTCAGTGTGTATGTGAAGAGAGGCAAAAGGTGTTAATGTTAACAGAAAGCCCTTCAAAAATTGACAGAAAAATAGGTGGCTCCCCTCTCCCCCCCCAAAGAAAAGAAAAATGGGTGGCTCTATAGAAGCTCGCAACCCAGCAAGCAGAGGTTTTGTGACCTACTCGAGGGTTCTGACCCATGGGTTGAAGATCACTCCTGGAAAATGGGGTTGTATGGTTAGTTTAGACTGCCCATCACCTGTTGGCAGAGGTAGCAGAATCCAGTTGGCAGAGGGTAACAGAATCAAGAGCCAGTTTGGTGTAGTGGTTAAGAGTGACGGACTCTAATCTGGAGAACCAGGTTTGATTTCCCCCACTTCTCCACATGAAGCCAGCTGGGTGACCCTGGGTCACAGTTCTGTCAGAGCTGTTCTCGCAAGGGCAGTTCTCTCAGAGCTCTCTCAGCACCACCAACCTCACAGGGTATCTGTTGTGGGGAGAGGAAGGGAAGGAGATTGTAAGCTGCTCTGAGACTCTGAGTGAAGGGTGGGGTATAAATCCAACTCTTCTTCTTCCTCCTCCTCCTCCTCCTCCTTACTGAGAGGTTTATAGCCTTAGCAAGGTGGGATGCTGCCTTGTACACAGAGGGCAAAAGGTAACCTAGAGTCAAATGGAGCATTTGCATTTCTGGCCCACTTGGAACCTTCACACCCATATGCTTTTAATCTCTGAATTCCCAATGCTAGGAAGCAACACCAGGGAAACGCCTTGGTCTCCATGTCTCCTGTTCATTGTGTGTCCCCCCAGTAAACCAGCTGACGGCTGTATGGTATAGCTTGCTGAACTAGACACACCACCAGTCTGATCTGTTGGAGCTCTGATGTCATCAGACCATTATTCCCCATTGGGGAGAAAGGCAGGGTATAAATGAATAAGTTAAAACATTACTCCTGTGGACATTAATAAGTGGGAAACAATTCATGTCCACGTGTGATCCCCCTGTAAGTTGATTACTTTGCTTTGTGATGTTTTTCTTTGTTCCCTTACAAAAATTTCAGTCTGGGAACAAAGTTTAGAGGTAATTAATGCAGAGAACGAAGCGTAGAATGGAATGGTAATTCCTCCTAGTACGAGTAGCTGCACCACACACAGCAAATGCATTGCTATAGGATGACATATAACCTGTATCTTGGGAAGCAGTGTAGACGTTACAGGACTCTTGGCCTGATTCAGAACGGCCAGGGATTTTTATCCCGTCTCTTCAAGGAAGGATAAACATACACCCCCCTTTTCCATTCTATCCTCACAACAAACCTGTGATGTATGTTAGGCTGCGAAAGTAGGCCGAGCCCAAGATCTCCCAGGGAGCTTTGTGACTGAGTAAAGACTTGAATCTGGGTCTCCCCAGACTGAGTCTGACGCTGTGACTGCTATACAACATTGCCTTACCTACAATGCACTGACATGATATTCTTTTCTGTGGAACAATTCTCTGTCTTGAAATTCCCACCCCATCTCCCCTCTGAATAATTTCTGATTCCCCTTTTGTCATCATAGCTTCTTTTACTGGAGGCGTATTAGTTGCTGGAGGAGAGTGCAATTTATCTGTCAAGAGTTTTATAATTAAAAGGCAAGAGATCTATTTTGCAACGTGTTGCTTGTAAAGTGCCATTAGATGACACGCATAAAAGCTGTATAAAATACAATGTTATATTCTTCCACATAAGTCTTGGGTATATATATGTGTGTGTGAAGACTTCTGTTCCCCCAAAGGTCAGATTCACGTCCAGTACTTAAAGTACTTTCAAGTCCTTTTCTTGCTCTCCATCTGCTTGCGTGAAAAGAAGAAAGCTGGTGAAATGGGTTTCGGGCTTCCAACACTTTATGGCATGTGTGTCGAATTGGTCGACCATATCCTTATTTTATAACTGTTCCAAATAACAATGTGTCTGTTCAGCCTTAGCAAAGCAATGGTGTCATATTAAAAGACAGGGCAAGGATCTAGTCTTCTGCAGCCCCCATTCCATTGCCAGGATGCCATCCCGTTTCCTGATGCAATGCTGCCATCTGGCGTCCATTTGGAAATGCTGAAGGAAAAGAATCGTTTGGACCTGCAGGACCCATGAAACCCCAGCCCCTTTCCTTTTTTTTCACCAGCAGAAAAAAACGGTTGGATCCAGTCTTCCCATGTGCACAGTTCTGTTTTCTGCTGTCTTATTTGGAATGACATGTGACAGAAGAACTCGAATTCCACAGAATCAGGAGGTTTTTGAATTACAATTTCTCTCAAGAAAAAACAAAACTCGTCAGCGACAAGTCCTGAAATTGATATAGAAACACCGCCTTTTTTCCCCCCACAGAGAACTTATATTTTGAGGTGTTGATTTTTATTTTTTATTTTTTGTAACTGGCTTGCTTCTCTGTGCTTGTCTACTGTGTTGATCCACACTGATTTAAGTCAGGGTAAGTTGCACCAGCATTGTAAAATGATGCCTTGCACCAGTGTTCCCTCTAAGCTGAGTTAGTGTGAGCTAGCTCACAGTTTTTTAGCCTCTGGCTCACAGATTTTTGTCTTAACTCAGGAAGGATGGCTCCAGAGCAAACTAATTTATGCACAACTTTAATGCCAGTAGCTCACAAGGTAGAATTTTCCCTCACAAGATTCCTCAGCTTAGAGGGAACATTGCCTTGCGCCACCATCAGACATACCCAGGAAGCAAGTGGAGAGAGAGTTCTAAGAGAATGACACCCAAAAGATCCCTTGGTGCCACCTTACCCTTCAGTCTCCTCCAGAGCTGACAGGCCACGGGAAAGAACAAGATTTTGCTGAAGGGGTGAAATTCACCTTATGGTGAATCAGACCATTAGTCCATCTAGCCCAGTATTCTGTAATTGGCAGCAGGAAATCCCCAGGTCTCAAGAGGTTTCCCCAGCCCTGCTACCATACTGGACAAGGCAAGGATAATCCCAGATAGGGGTGCAGAATTGGATAATGCTGACCCAATAAAATGCCTGATATTTCCGGCATCAGATTAGTAATGTCCGAAACTGAAAAAGGCACTCTTGTTATTTCCTTATTATGACATCTCACTCCTAATATTGGAAATATCTAGAATGAGGTCCGGAGGCCTTTCTGCTGTTCTGCAAGTGGCACGCTGGCCCTTTCAAATCTAAAAGACCACTATTTATTTATTTATTGTACGGCAGAGTTACACACAAGAAGCATATAATAATCAATCAAAGTTTATTTAACGGCTTTTGGCCATCTTATAATACAGAGAATAAAACCAAGAACGCAAAATAAAAATACGTTAAAAAGGTGTCACGCATATAATAATATAAAATACAGAACCAAGTTGCTACAATGGGTATGCAGACCGACTGGGCAATCCCCCTAAATACTAATATCTAAATTTTCAATCCAATCGATAAGCTGGAGAGAATTCTTTGTCACATCTCCCTAGAAAGGATGACACGTTCCTGTGACAGAGGGGAAATAGTTTGGGGGGGGGGCTGCACCACAATCACATTCAGGTCCTGGTATTTTGCCCCATTTAAGCAACAGGTCTGCACCGCTGCCAAAGCCTGTTCGTATTTTATTACCTGCCTTCCATAGTTTACATGGCAAGTCAAATCCTGCGGGCCTCTGGTTGGTGCTTATCAGGTTATGGATATTGGGTGGAACTGATTGCATCCATGTTCATTCCTTAGATTGAATAGGTCCATGTCAGTCATGTCTTTGTGGATAGGCAACCCTTTGTTTTCAATGATCTTTCTATGTTCATGAAGAAGAGTATCTTGGTCTTCAGAGATGTGGGGGGAAGCGATGTGGTACAACGTGGGTAGCCAATAGGTCAGAGTGGGTTTAATACATCCGCTGATGGTTCTCATTGTTGTATTGAGTTGGACATCAAGTTTGCGGACATGGGGGCTGTTGAGCCGCACTAAAGCACCATATTCTGCAGTACTATGCACCAACCCCAAAGCTGAACATCTAAGTGTTGTAGCAGACGCACCCCAAGTTGTACCACATAATTTTCGGAGAATATTGTTCCACGTGTGTGTTTTCACCACTACATTGGTAAGATGGTATTGATAGCTCAAGGTCCTGTCTAGGGTAATGCGAAAGTACTTAGGTGTATGTTGTGTGTAAATCGGGTGCCATTAAGGTAGACATTCAGTTTGTGGTTGGCAAGATTGTTATTGAGATGGAAACAAGAGCATTCTGTTTTTCCTGGACTTGGGATAAGCTGCCATTTAGGGTTGCAGTCAGCCAAAATTTCAAAGTAGTCAGCCAAAAACACCACTGTTTCAATTACTGTCAATATGCGGTAGACGTGGCCTCTGGAATCCAGAAGTCAGGTCTACCACCCATTGAAACAGCTGCCGTTTGAAGGGGCTGATCCACTGGACCATCTGAGGAGCTTCTCCTCTCCCTCCTTGATCCTGCTGCCAGCAGACATGTCAAAAACTATGTTTTAATTTTATTTGATGATTTTGGAAAGGGTGTCATTATCGTTTTCCACTCAGTTTGGGGAGTATTGATATTTTTCCAATGTGGGTTAAAACAGAAATGTTTCCAGCACAGCTTTCTGACATTATATCAATACTCCTGATATTTAAGGAAAATAGTAATCATGCACTTCTTGACTTTCCAGTAGGGAATTACAATGATAATTTTTTGAAGTACATACCCTAGGCACATCCTGTACTCTCGGACCCTTCCCTTAAAATGTTGAAAGGTCCCACCATCTCCATCTTCTTCGTCTGTGCTGAGCTCAAACCTGCAGCTTGCTAGATGGAGTACAAGGAGGCTGGTCTTAAGTGGAGACACTGAAACTGCATCTCCTTACATCCAAATCATGCCCTGTTCTACTGAGTTAGCCTAGGTTCTCCCCCCCCCCAGTCATACTTCTGTTACCATCAGTCTACTGCATACACTAGCAAATTGGTGGTCTTTTAGTGACCATCTGATTGTATATCTATTTTTTTTTCTACTGAGACACCACAAAAGAATTACAAGCAACTATACTAAATTCAAGAGATTTATTATATAGTACATGCAATATTTTGTGGAACATCACTGGATCAACTATTCTAGTCAATGGAATTCCAGCCATAATGCAAAGACTAGGTAAAAGTAAAGGTTTCCCTTGCTCGGAAGCCAGTCAAATCCGACTCTAAGGGGCAGTGCTCATCTCCATTTCCAAGCCAAGGAGCCAGCGCTGTCCAAATACATTTCCGTGGTCATGTGGCTGGCATGACTTGACGCCTAGGCGCATGGAACGCTGTTGCCATTCCACCGCAGTGGTACCTATTTATCTACTTGCAATTTCTTGCTAGGTTGGCAGGAGCTGGGGCCAGGGATGGGAGCTTACTCCAGCACATGGCACTAGGGTCTCGAACTGCAGAGCTGCTGACCTTCCAGTCTGCAGCTCAGCGTCTTAACCTCTGAGCCACTGCGGCCCCCAATGCAAAGACTATTACTCTATAATTCTCTACCAGCATTTGCTGGTGTCCTCCTTGAAACTGCCTCCTTGTAGCACGGAAGCCAAACTAAGTATGGAACATGAGCAAAAAAGGAAGGAAGAATTGAGAGGTTGGCTTGAGAATATTCATTGACAAGGCAAAACTAATTGGTAGAAACTCTGTAAATGAACAGCACAAATGATTTAGAGTAGATAATCTGAGATACAAACTGTACTGTACTGTTAGTACAGTCCACAGCCTGGAAGTCTAGGAACCCACATGATCAAGATCCTGTTTCCTGCTATGAAATCTGGTGACTTTCTCAAATTCTGAAAATCTCATCATTAAGTGTCGGAATCATGCTAGTAATCCTTACCATTGCAAGGTTAAACTTAAAACATACATACCATTTCTAGTATAAATGTCTTTTAAAAAATTTCAAACCATACAACCCCCATCCATTCCATTCATCTTGGTCCTTTCAATTTTTGTTGCCCTTTTGTTGCCACTTTCCTGCTTCCACCCCAGTTGTTGTTGTTTTTTAATTACAAATCTGCAAATGTTAACTTGCATCAGGGGTCATTTCCTGCAGGAGCGCACAGGAGTGGAGCTCCGGCAGTAAAGAGCCCAGGGGGCGGGCACATGCAACAAGCCCCACCCCCTGCTCCCAGCAGCCCTCAGTCAAAGCAAGAAACAGCCAGGTAAATTGCAAAGCTCCCCCTGGCCCCCCGGTCCAAAACAGTCCAGTGGCATCTTTAAGACCAAGTTTTTATTCAGGTACAAGCTCTCCCTCCCCTGCGAGGACAGATCTGCACGTCCCCCCCCCCCAAAAAAAAATAGCTAGCAATCCAAAACAGTCTAGTGGAGCCTGAGCGGTGGGTGTTGCCTTCTGACACACTTCCGGTGATGTCTGGGGGTGTGACATATGCAAATAAGTTATGCTAATGAGTTATGTTAATGAGCTCCTGCACCTCTTTTTGTACAAAACGACCCCTGACTTGCATACAGATATTCCAGAATTGAATGTGGATTTGGACACTCTAGCATGGAAATCAGTTACAGTTCATTGCAGTCTCTTCATTACTGAGCTATCTATACCTCCCAATGGTAAATCAGATCTAAAATATATAAATATCTAAGGAAAAAAATAAGGCTGCCCCCAAATTGATGCTGTTTTATTTTTGTTGCACATTTTTGTTGCACATTGCTTTATTGACTGGGTTTCTGTTTTCAAACCTAAACACTATCCCATTTGAAATTATATAGGCTGTTTATGTTCATACAGCTATTCCACATTGTCGGCTAGGAGTTGACAGTTGCCACTGCTGTAAGAATCACCTTAGTCCCCATGGCTACCTATGACCTATGTGAATCAGAGCACATGGATTGATACAGCCAAGATAATATATAGCCAATGGTATGGTTGAAAGCAGGATGTTACTCTAGATGGACATTTTCAGTTGGGCTTTTCTCATGTTCCTGTGTATGCCGTCCTGTGTCATACCATTACATATATATACTTCAGCTAAGCACGCTTCAAATCAATGATGGCAAATAAGACAGAACACGCCATGTGGGAACAAAATAGTGATACTATCTAGGTGTCTATCCTCCCTTTCTGGGAGACGTACATGGTGCTCTCTTCCCCAATGCTATGCTCACAACAGTCCTGTGAGGTAAATTCAGGTGGGTAGCCATGTTGGTCTGAAGCAGCAGAACAAAGATTGAGTCCACTGGCACCTTTAAGACCAACAAAGTTTAATTCAAGGTATAAGCTTTTGTGTGCAACAAAGAAGCATCTGAAGAAGTGTGCTGGCACACAAAAGCTTATACTTTGAATCAAACTTTGATGGTCTTAAAGGTGCCACTGGACTTACCATGAGGTAAGTTAGACTGGGAGATTGTAACTTGCCCCTGGTCACCTAGAAGGCTTCACTGGCAGTGTGGGGACTTGAACTCAGATCTTCCAGATCCTAGTACAATACGGTTATCACTATAATACCCTGTTTCTCTCTAACACAATGCATCAGTGAAAGACCAGACCTATGCCAGGAAAATAAATGAATATTTTGAAAGGGGCACTAAACATAAACTGGAAAAGCAAATGTAATTTTTTAAAAAAGAACTGTTTATGCTCACCCTACATTAGGTTACAATTTAAAAGAATCATCTTCCCGAACTATTCATACTCTACCATCTCCTTATTATATTACAAAGCATACAGTACTAAGCCAGCTACAGACTCTTTGCTTCTAGACAGGTTCTTTACAGATGGCACCACAATTCGTAATTTAAAAGTTTCCAAGATGGATTGTGCTCATCAAATTCTAATTCTGAGTGCCACATTAAATCCACATTTGATAATGAAGAAAATGCAACCAAATTGCTCGTACAAATGAAGTTAATGAACACATGCTAGACTATAAATGAAATACTTGGAGTAACAACTGTGGATCTGATTCACTTTGCAATATCAGCAATTATGAAATGGTGCATCCTCATTTCAAATAGCCAGTAGGGTGGATTTCTCTGTGTAGATGAAGGTGCAACCCTTCAGTTTAAGTGATAGAAAACATTATCTTAGGTCCTAGGGTATTTCACATTGGTAGTCGATATCTGAAAGTAAATGTGTGATTTTTGATAGTTGAGCCTGAATTGGGTTTTCACATGTTTCTGTACTCCAAGTGACCGTTGTGCAATAACTAGAATATTCTAGAAGTAATTCACAGAAACAAAAAGGCATATTATACAGGCAATAGACAAAAATCCAACTGTTAACTCAAATTAACCCCAGTTTAAGGCATACAAGGGGATGAGATGGTAGCAATAGAATACTGATAAAAATGCCATGTCTGTTACTGAAGTAAAAGGTCAGTTTAAATGGGATAAATTTTGCAACACATCCTGATGGTGGAAAGGGCTGCACGCTACTGGCAGAAACCTGGGGAAACCATGGAGCAAGGTGATATTGGAAAGTCAGGTAGGAAGGGGGTCTGAGGGAAGTGGATTTATAGCAGACAAGGACATAATAGCCTATATTATTGTGAGTTTTGATGTTTGGCCAGAGTTCAGGTGAGATACAATAACTAATATTCAAACATATCAAGCCATAGACTAACTATTACTAAAGCCTATTTCATTGTTGTAGGAGATCAGTTATCCAGTTTGCACATGGAGGCATTTTTAAAGAACAGAGTTAACTCTGAAGGGCAGGGAAGAATGGGTGGAAGGTATACCGAGGAATATTAATTGGAAGTTACCGTGTGTCTGTAAAAAAAAAACCCAACAACCCTGTGTTCAGTAAAAAATTTAAAATAACCTACAAGTTCACGTTTACCTTATCACAGAATTCCTAACAGATGGAAAGATCTGTGTTTTATTTTTTTAAAATCTAAAATCAAAACTTCACTGAGAGGGAAAGATTGGCTTATAGATTGCTAATACTCATGAACTGTTGTGACAGTGTCCAGCGGGACTGCTTGCAACAAGAATATAATTTGCACCCAGGCCTTTTTTCCTGGGGGAATGTGCCGGAATGGAATTACAGAACCTCTTTGACAAAATTCCTTTAAAAATGTTTAAAAGTTCATGAGTTTTCAGTATACAGACTGAACAATTCATTTCCCTCTTGAGAATTCCAGCACCACTTTTTTTAAAGCACTGTTTGCATCACTAGAAATAGCCTCTTGCATTGGTTTTAGCCACCATCCACCATCTTTAACACTGGGTTAGATTCCACTAGCAAAGGGAGTTTCCTCCATCAGGCAGACGCTACCAATCCAAGATGCTTGGGAACCTCATGTCAGAGGAAAGCATTTCTGCTGGCAGAATGGATTTAGGATCCAACCTACTGAAGCTACACCATGAGCTTTGAGCATGTGATGCTAAAAGAACCAAATGATATATATTTAAAAAAGAATCTAATTAAAAATGTCTCAGCAGCAATACCTGATAAGTATGTAGACCGTCTGGGTTGTTTCTTTCATTTAAAAGAAAACAAGATGCTTTAGAAAATAACACTACCCCTTAATTGCACAGAATTATTTACAGAAAAGCTTGGCAATATGACATGAAACTAGAAAGGTGAAATTTCAGCATCCGTTTCTTCATCTTCAACAATCACCGCCTGCTCCCCATCTTTAAGTAGTTGGACACCTAGAACCAGAAAGAGGAGAAAAAGTGGCTTAATACAGATAACTCTTGCTTCAAAGAATGGCCATCCTTGTTGCCAGTAAGAATGGGCAGTTGATGTACAGCACTTGGAGATGAGCTGTAATCCCAGAAGAACTCCAGCCACCACCTGGAAGTTGGCAACCCTACCTCCAACTGCTATTAGCCCTTCTAAAGAAAAAGACTGACAGTTACCATGGCTAATATCAACTTGAAGAGGTAGGGAGCCGATTTTAATGCTGGGGAGGAGTGAACTTCCACTACTTCAGTCTCATGACCCCGATTGGAAGTCCCACCCTCCAATATGGATACTTTTAAAGCAACTTAGGCATCTCAGCATCCCACAATGGATCTCCAGCCTCTTCTTTCGCTGGAAGGCTAGATGGGGAGGGGGAAGATTGGAGCCTCGCCAGAAAACATGCTCACGTGACCTCAACTTTTCCCCTCCCTCCAAGGAGGCTGCGTCTCTAAAGCAGCGGGACGAAGTGATGGAATGCAAAGAGACAGAAGAGACTGTACAAATTTTCAGGCTGCACATATCAGTTTTGAGCCTTCCCCCTATCTAAAAAACTCACTGTAAGGAAAACCAGCTCTATCACCTAAGTGACAGAGAACCAAGTTTGAGTCTGATGAAGTGTGCTTGCACATGAAAGCTTATACCATGAATAAAGCTTTGTTGGTCTTAAAGGTGCCACTGGACTAAAACGTTGTTCTGCTCCTTTAGACTGACATGGCTACCCCACCTGAACAAAGGTTTGCTTTTGCTCTTCTGGTTTTCTCTTTGCAGGGAGTTTTTAACTCAAACGTGGATCCCCACATCTGCGGTCTGTCATGTTGCAATTTGCCTTTCCACCCCACTGTGCTCAGGTCTGATAAACAGTGGAGAAAGGTACTCCATCACCCCGCCAAAGCTGAAGTTCCCTCTCTGCTTTCACAGCCGAGCCATGTTTTCATTAGTCAACTATTTCATAGTGTTACTGAAGAAAAGCGCATTATGCCAGCATGCTGTATTCAAACCAGAAGAGAAAAACCAATAAAGTGCTTTAAGCACTTGGTGAACTGGACTCCCCATAAATAGTCCAAAATTAAGGAGCATTTTCAAACTGTGTCTATAGAATGGATCTTTGTGTTGCTGAACTGCTGCAGACCACCTTTCCCTCAGCTGAGAATGTGTGCATGAAATTAAGTGTCGTTTCTGTGAATACATCCCTCCTTTGAAAGAAGTATCATTCAAGTATCTTTGCTCTAAAACAATATCCATCTTAAGCCGAATAGTTATAGATCCTCATTTGGTTGAAGAAAACCCGTGACTGACAAAACATATTTGACATTTGGCAAAGAATCACTTCATTTCTCCATTTGTGAGTACACATTTATTTTTTTGGAAGTAAACAGTTTTAGAAGGGTGTTCACCCTGGCAAGGAGTTCTGCACTCCCCTCGGCAGTGCTTGAAGGCAGGTATAAGAAAATCCCCTACCTAGAAAGGTTATGTACACGCCCATTAAGGGAAGTTGAGTCCATTGGGCATACATTGTTTAGTCGCCTGTATTATAAGGAGGCTCTTTTGGAGATCATTACTCTGTTGCTGGATAAGATTCCCGGCTGCACAAATAAATCTAGGCTTGATTGCCTTTTATCTGCACTGATACTGAGGTTATGGAAACTGTGCTTTAATTAGGTCCTAAATTTTAATCTTTTTATTTTGTATGTTCTGTATTCTGTATGTAAAAAAAATTATCATAACTCTATGTATGTGGCTGGTTTAGCGACCATAATAATAAATTCTGATTTTGAGTACATATTTATAATCCTCCTGGCTTCCCCATCTTTACCTATTTGGAACTGAATTTCTTTTCAGCCTAAGGATGCATCCTCGTCATTCAATGTGTGTGTGCAGCATTCAGTATTGAACTTCTTCTTGCTTGTGGATTTCCTCCCCAACACTTGGGGTTTTAACATCCTTGGATAGCAAAGCCCTGCTGTTTTAGAGGATAAACTAGTTCCAAACCATGTGGAAACCTTGGTCCTCCTCTGTCCTGCTTTGACCTCCTACCTCCAACACAGAAAGTGTGTGCAGTTATTCTCATAAATATCTTCTGGTTTGTCGCAGAGCCTGAAAACTGTAATCTATGCATTTGCAAGCCAGAAGTAAATTTTCCATGAGGTTTTGGGGATCTTTCTAACTTTCTCATGGGTAGTTGTGACGAACATTTTTTTAAAAGAACCAGCGTCCACAACACTTTATTTTATGGATGATCAATCAATTATGAAAATGTTGCTCTTTTTCACTCTTCATTTCCTACTATAAATAATATTCTAATATGTATCTTTAAAATATGTAGCCTTTACAATTAAGCTGTTCTTTGGGTTTGGATTATGGGTGTATCCCCAGCTGCTTCTCTGGCGGCAGAAATCACAATGCACCCCATAGTTAAGCATGCTTAATACCACTGCTTTCAAGTCCTTTACTGCTGGATTGACCAGGATCAGTGTGTGGTGGTAGACATGTCATTGGCATGACTCAGCAATTCCCACATTAAAGTATGTCCACTATCACTGGTTAAACATTGAAGAGTGTGTCCCCTATCCAGAACGGAATTAATAGTACCCTTCCTCATGAGATATTCTGAAGATGGTATATGATACTGATGGTAAAAAATCCGACATGCCTACATTGAAGTGGTATTCAGTTTGATCAAGTGCACTCCTCATTCTCCATGTGGGCCACCATGTAATATTTCTGGGTTCTCAGACGCCGACTTAACAGAATGAGGAATGGCTTGCAAATAAGTTCAGTATAAAGAAAAACAAAAACACTGTGTACAGCAATCTCTTCAGTATAAAGAAAAACAAAAACACTGTGTACAGCAATCTCTGTAGTCATGTATGGCTGCGAGAGTTGGACTATAAGGAAGGCCGAGCACCGAAGAATAGATTCTTTTGAACTATGGTGCTGGAGAAGACTCTTGAGAGTCCCTTGGACTGCAAAAAGATCAAATCAGTCAATCCTAAAAGAAATCAACCCTGACTGTTCCCTGGAAGGCCAGATAATGAAACTGAAGCTCAAATACTTTGGCCACCAAATGAGAAGGGAGCACTCCCTGGAGAAGACCCTGATGCTGGGAAAGATTGAAGGTCAAAGAAGACGGGGATGGCAAAGGATGAGATGATTAGACAGTGTCATCGATGCAACGGACATGAAATTGAGCCAACTTCAGAGGACAGCAGAAGACAGGGGGGCCTGGCGGGAGCTGGTCCATGGGGTCGCAAAGAGTCGGACTCGACTGTGCGACTGAACAACAACAACAACAATCTCTAGAACTCAATCTTCTAGAACTAACTGATGCCAGAACCTCAAACTATCAGCTCCCTAACATTGTTAAGTAGAAAGGAATGTCTATAAAATGTAAAGTCTACCACTACACATGTTTTTAAAAAACCCAAATAATTATTGTGGTTTCACTAACTTCCATTTAAAAATACCCACCCTAGAACTGCACAGTACATTTATTTTCCTCATTTGTGAAAGGCTGTTCAAGGTATGTAAACAGGGTGGGAGACATCACCGTCTGAGGCCAAACAAGTCTGGATAATAAATCAGCCTCCTACTGTTTCCTGTCAGCGGGCTTTTAGCTGGTCTGGTTGTGTTGATTCAACTAGGCCTTTCCCTGGTCATTTTCCTCTTTTTTTTTGCCATGAAAAGTCTTTCAGATAATGAAGTGCTTCATAAAGTCTGGAAATGGTGCAAGAGAAACAGGATGGCTTTGTTCAGTTCTACATTCCATCCAAGGAGAAGTTCATCAATGAGAACCCTTTCACAGTGGCATCCGCCAAGGAAAGGGCTGGTTGAAATGGACTGCCTGGATTCAAGCTGAAAGGGATTTATATTCTTCATGATTAATAAGTAGCCAGCACTCCATGTGTCTAGTGAGCAACAGATTTTTGTGTTGGTCATCAAGATAGCTACACTAGTGAGAGGAAAATATCTCCTGTCATATTATGACAAAATTTAAAAGAGAAAAAAGCAACAATGAGTTATTCAAGTGTTGCCAGGTCCGACCATAAAATTTCAGGACTCTGTCTTCATTCACATGCTGAGGAAGGAGCTAGACCTTAGGACGACAGAAACAAGGGAATGGGCTGTTTTTTGCCGGGTTTCAGTTGTTTTCCTTAGTCCCACCCCATATCACCATTCTTCACTCCTGAATCACTAGGAACAGCCAAGTTGTCCCACTATATGAAGTCTCGAGCCATATGCTATTAGACCCCCATCTCTGTTCCAATAGTGTCCACTTGCTAGTTCCAAGGTTCTACCTTCTGAGTCTCAGGAAGCCTAGAAACCCCACAGACTGAGTGGCCGGAGACTGTACAGCAGGGGTGGCCAAACTGCGGCTTGGGAGCCACATGTGTCTCACTCACACATATTGTGCGGCTCCCAGCAGGGCGGCTAGGAAAGCAAAGGGGAGGCATGCCTCCCTGATCGGTCTTTCCTTCCCCAGCCAGTGTTCCCCTCCCTGGGTAGGCTTGACGTGGGGGGGAGCAGAGAAAGAAAGCAACTTCAACTTTAAATGCGTTCTCAAAGCCCCCCCTCCCCCACCAGCCAGCTTGGAGAAGGCGTTTGTCTCTTTAAGCCCCTTCTCCAAGCCAAGCTGGCTGGCATGGGGACATGGGGTGGGGGGGTTGGAGAACACATTTAAAGTTGCTTTCTTTCCACCGCTCCCTCTCTCTCTTTCTCTCTCTCTCTGACAAATAAATATAATTAGCAAACAGATAAATATCATTGGACAAATAAATACCATTATCAGCATCTGGTTTTACCTTTTGTTTTTATTTTTGTCAGTCTCACCTCATGTTAATAAAAAGCAAATTTCCATTTCAATAAAAATTGTGTGTGTAATATTTGTTCATGTCTTGTGGCTCTCAAACATCTGACATTTATTCTATGTGGCTCTTACGTTAAGCAGGTTTGGCCACCCCTGCTGTACAGCTATCAGGGGCTTTGGCCATATCTACGTAACATGCATTGACCAGTGGTTGACAAAAATGTCACAGCCTATCACGGCTACTTTCACTTAAGTGCACTATCCACTGAAATGGTCCTTTGCCATCCATAGTTAGTTGCCAGATTTGCGTCTCAGATGAAGCGTAACTACACCCATGCTGAGTTCCTCGAAAATATTCTGTGGAATAATATGTGTTCATCGACTGTTCTGAAGATGGAAAAAAGCTATGGATTATGAATGCTGACAACATATAAAAATACCATGAATGTTAATGAATAGATACATCAATACATATAGTTTTAATTATGCCTCCAAAATACCTTCATCACCCAAAAGATTAGAGGCCTGGTCTTGAAAGGGAATACTTATCCACATAGTCTACCATTTTTATCTGCTTAGGAGGGCAAGTGGGCAGACCGTGATATTCACGGAATTATTTAATTAAGCAATATAACAACTGAAATGCCTGGTGTTGGTTTGCACTCTGGGATTCTGCCTGCTTCCTATGTCACTGGCAGCTGTCAGGAGGAATTCTGAGCTACAGAGCAAATAAGAACAAAATCATTATATGTGCCTATTTGGATAGAATTGTGCATGAGAGCCAAACCGATAATAAATAATAGACTGAAAGGCACCTTGATTTTTTTAATTTGCTGCAAACAGCCGTGTGGAAGCTTCTTAGGTGGAGGAATGTAAAACTGAGATTTTATTTGGCCCAGCATTATGCAGATATTCATTTACTCCATGGCAATTAGCCAAAGAAGCATAAAGGTCCCCCTGAGGCAAAGGCCGGATGAAATGCCACGCCACCAGGGGTCATTTCCTGCAGGAGCGCACAGGAGCGGAGCTCTGGCAGTAAGAAGCCCAGGGGACGGGCACATGCAACAAGCCCCGCCCCCTGCTCCCAGCAGCCCTCCGTTGGGCCATGAGGAGCAAGAAGCAGCCAGGTAAGTTGCAGAGGGCCCCCCCTGCCCACCTTCAAGTACAAGCTCTCCCTCCTCTGTGAGGACAGATCTGCACGTTTCCCCCCACACTCAATAGCTAGCAATCCAAAACAGTCCAGTGGAGCTGAGTGGTGGGTGTTGCCTTCTGACACACTTCCGGTGATGTCAGGGGATGTGGCATATGCAAATAAGTTATGCTAATGAGCTCCTGCACCTCTTTTTCTACGAAATTACCTCTGCATACCACCATGACCTCCTTGTTTCGGAACGGCAACCAGTTTTGTACACACTTTGACATTTGTTGTGATTGTGGTTTTGGTATACCAGGAGGTGTTCAACCATTTCAATGTTTTTCTCCTCAGAACGAGTAATTGTGAAATGTGTTGGATTGTTTGTATAACTTATCACCACACTGATAAATCGACACCTTATTCTGTTTTCAGATCCTTTACAACTATTATTTGAATCCCTAAGTGGTATTGTCCTTATAACCAGCACAATGTGGGGAAATCTCTGTCTTTCAGCCTTACCTTTGTCACAGGTTGTTTGTTGAATGGTAGAAGGAAGAATGGGGTTATAAGCCACTTTGGTTATATCCATGGTAGTGGCGCTAGAACGTGCCATCAAGTCATAGGGGGCGGTCACACACGCGAGATAAAGCAGGGGGGGGAAGCGAGGCTATTTCCTCCGGATAAATTTGACCCGCAGTTGCGCAATCACACAGTCCTTGGAAGCTGCGGGCATGGCTCTGCACTGAAGTCTCCCTATGGAGTTGGCGATGATGCGCATACCGGGAAGGGGGGGGGGAAACAATGGCGCAGATTTGGGATGGCCTGATCAGACCATCCCGATGCCACGAGAGCACACTGGAGCAATCAGACACGGGAAACTCCATCGCAACCCATTTACTACCAGATTTTCCCCGGTGTCTTTTTACTCTGCTTCTGCGGCAGAGCAAAACGGGTTGCCAACGGGTGCGAGGCGCTTCCCAAATGTTTGATCATGCCCTTTAAATCCTCCCGGCATTCGCGCCTATGGTGGGGCTAATTGTGCGTGTGATTGTTGTGATAGCCAATTTATGGCAACCCTGTAGGGTTTTCAAGGCAAGAGACGTTCAGAGGTGGTTTGCCATTGCATGCCTCTGTGTAGCAACCTTGGACTTTCTTGATGGTCTCCCATCCAAGTACTAACCAGGGCTGACTCTGCTTAGTTTCTGAGATCTGGCTATTCTGGTCCATCTCCATGGGAAGGGGGGGGGGGTATACATATCTATATAAATAAACAAACCTCTTTTTCATGTGAAGTTGAATCCAGATTAGCAGTTAGCAACCAAGTCTCTTCCAAAGGCCATACTGAAGAACAGTTACGATATTTTGCTAAAATATCATAAGCTAGGAAATGACATACAAATCCACATTCTTTACACAGAAAAATGGCTACGATCCAGCAAAACTACATTTGCCATCAGGTCCCATATTTAACTTCCATATGCAACAATGACAAAGCCCTAACTATACTTATGGCATATTTTCACTGAATATAATTACTGCATTTTATTTTGGCACAATGCATTTCTGACAGCTGTAACAGATCTATATATAACAATTCCCCCATTGCTGATCTGTAATATTTCCCCTGCAAACCTGGAAGAGACATCTTACAATATTTTCAACACATCTTCTGCTTCTGGGTAAGTGAGCACTCCCATTTACACTTAAGTAGTGAAACAGTTTCCTCACAAAGGGCTTATTTGTTTCAAGGTGCGACACCAGATGGAGTCTTTTAACCGAATCACTGAAACAAGGAGAAGAATTTGCAAATGGTGTGACACAGAAGTGTAATGGACGGTAGGGCTCTTCGTATTCAGTCCCTAATTTCAAAGCCTTTGACTTGAGCGCTTCTCAGCAACAGATGGCCTTGAAAAGCCTGATCAATGAGTTAATTCTGTGTATGCTGCACAGTGCTCACAATACTATGTTTGTAACGGAATTACAGCGCAGCCCTAAAGAAGAGTTTAAAACCTTTCTAAGCCTATTGACTTAAAAGGGCTTAAATGTGTGTTAACTCCACTTAAAAGCGCTATCCAATTACTCTCCCCCCTGCCTTTAATTAGTGAATCATACCTTTGTTGGACAGAAAGATGAGAACTCTGGAGGGCATATAGCCGTAGGATTGCACACTAAAAATAAACCAGTTAGTGGAAACAGTCCTGTGAGGAAACTGAGTAAGTGAGAAACTATCTATTATGCAGACACACACACACCATAAAAAACTCACATAAATACTATAAAATGAAATTATCCAAAAGATAAAGCCTTATTGACAACCTATCCTGGGGTGTTTTATTTATTTATTTATTTACTCTTTTATTTCATATTTCCCTTACCGGCAAGTCGAGGTGGTGTATTGATTGCGGGTGTGTTTTTTCTTCTGGGTTTTTTCTGTTCTTGATCCGATTTTTGGAGTGCTGGACCGGTGTGACTTTTTGGTAGTTTCTCAGAGATGTCACACCTTCTGATTAAGTGATCTGAAAGGATGCCTGTCAACATATGATAAGAAATGGAAGTCGGTCTTTGTAAAAGGTCAAGATGTTTTCATCAGCATGAGCTAGCACAGTTATCACTTAAAGAATCTTGCCCAAAAGATAAAGCTCTTTTCTCTGAATCTGTGCGGCATAACTTCTACCCAAAGACAGTTGTGCTAGAACAATAATATTGATCCGGGCAGTGCTTTGTGAAAAGAAAAGGTACCAGTATACACAAACAAACAGACAGACAGACATGTATGTATGTATGTATGCAGGGCTCTTTTTGTAGAAAAAGCCCAGCAGGAACTCATTAGCATAATAGGCCACACCCAACAGTATGAACTCATTAGCATATTGGGCCACACCCCTGACAGCACAGCTTATTAGCACATTAGGCCGCACCCCCATGTTACCAGAAGTGTGGTCATCCAGCCACACCCACCTTTTGCTTGTTATTCTGTTTACCTTGTTTGTTGTCCAAACCCAGGGCTTTTTTGTAGCAGGAACTCCTTTGCATGTTAGGCCACACATCCCTAATGTAGCCAATCCTAATGAGTTTCTGCTGCTGGGCGTGGCCAACTTGGGAGCCAGCCGGAACTCCGTTCCTGTGCATTCAAAACATTCCTGCCCCAAAATAGCCCTCTCTCTGTGTGTGTGTGTGTGTGTGTCTGGCAAGCCCTGGGGCTGGGGACTACAGTTGCCAATCTCTAGAGAGAGGCTGGAGTTCTCCCAGAATTACAATTGATCTCCAGACTATAGAGATTGGTTCCCCTGAAGAAAATGGCAGCTGTGGACAGTGTATTCTATGTAGGGTTGCCAGGTCCCTCCTGGCAACTGGCAGGGTGGGGGAGGACTTACCAGGAGCAGGAGGGAGGCCCAGGCTACATTGTGGGTGATGTCACTACTGGTGTTTACTGGAAGTGATGTCATCACGTTGTGAGGGTGCTCTGGTATTTGATCAAAAACTTTATGGTAAAAATGGTGCCTACTATAGAGTTTTGGCCCAAATACCAGAGCATTGCTGTGATATCACCAGTGTGATAACATGTACTGGAAGTGACATTGCCACGTCGCCAGTGACAGCGGCCTACTCCTGCCTCCCTTGCCAGTAAGTCCCCCTGCTGGCCAGCTAGGGTTGCCAAGTCCATCTTCCACCCCCAGCGGGGGACTTTGGGGGCGTGGCATCCCCGATGTGGAGGGGGATCCCCGATCCTGGAGGGGGCGTGGCATCCCTGATGTGATGACGTCACGTTGGGGATGTCCGCTGCCCCCCCCGCCCATGCGCCGGATCTCCAGAATCGGCAGTTCCCTGCACTTAAAGGAGCCGGCGTTTCCCTTTTAAGTGCAGGAGCTGGTGTTTCCCCTTTAAGAGCAGCTGCATTTCCCTTTTAAGTGCACGAAGCTGCTATTTCCCTGCAAGCCTGATCTCAAGTGGAGATCGGGCTTGGGAGGAAACACAGGCTTGGGAGGAAACACGGGTTCCACACACATAAAGGGAGAGAGAGAGAGGTGGCTGTGGGTGTTGGGTGTGGGGCTTCCTCCGCTGGCCATCTGGCCGGCGGCGGGTAGAACCCCCCCAAAATGGGGGACCCCTGGCAAACCGGGGGGGGGGTTGGCAACCGTATGGCCAGCTAATCAGCAGTCATGGGTGGTGCCTGGGGGCAGGGGATCTCCCGCCTCCAGCAGGGGGCTGGCAACCCTAATTCTATGGCATCTTATCCCTGCTGAGCTCCCGCCCCTTCTCAAGCTCTGCCTCCCCAGAATTTCCCTTCCTGCATTTGGCAACCTTACTAGGCTTTTTCATTAAATGTAGGTAGCTCCTTAAGAAGTAGGGCATATAGAGTACTGTATAGCAAGACTAGTCAGGTGCTTGGAGATGTATCCTTGAGGGAGAACTTAAAAACAAAACCTCCCACCTCAAAAAGTAGCACAACAAACATGCTATAAATTGTAAAAGTTATTGCAGACTACCATGCTCAAATCAAAACTATACATGCAAGAAACTAGAGTATGTCCCAGGAGCTTCACAGACTAAAGGATTAGGCCCCAGCCTACTGCAGTAGCTAGGACAGGGTTTATACAGGCTGCACCAACCTTCTCAGGCACAAGAAGGGAAGAGCAGTCATCAGTGTCCACAACCAACTTGCCTTTGAAGCTTGCAGGTGGAACAGGACCGGCCTAGAACAAATACTGGGAACCTGGACTCCTGCCTTTAATGGCTACCTTTTGCCTGCTACATTCTACCCATTATGAAGAGTTGTGGAAGCACTAGCAGCAGAACGGAAGAAGCAGTGCAGTGTAGTGGACAGTGTTTCATTAAGATCTGGAAAACGCAGGCTCAAATTCCCAGTCAGCCATAAAGGTCCTTGGGCCAGCCCTTCTCTGAGTCTCACTCATGCTTTTTTGCAAAATAAAAGGTACCAGTACCACTAACCCTCAGGAACAACATTTTGGAGTAGGGTTGCCAGGCAGTGCCTAGTACCTGGCAGGATGGCTATGGGTAGGGTTGTCAGCCTCCAGGTGGGACCTAGAGATCTCCTGGAATTTCAACTGATATACAGACTAAAGAGATACACTCTCTAGGAGAAAATCGCTGCTTTGGAGGTTACACTATGGCATTATGCTTTACAGAGGTCCCTCCTGTCCACAAACCCTGCCCACCCCAGGCTCTACCCCCCCCCCCAAACATCCATGAATTTCCTAGCTCTAGGTGTGAGTGGAAATATGGGAGGCCATAATGCTGGTTGTGCTGTCATGTTACTTTCAATAAAAACCCAGAAGTGACACACTGACACAGGTGACACAAGTAAAACCATAGTGACACAGAAGTGACACAGTTAGAACCATAGAGTTTCCAGTAATTCCTAGAGCTACCCTTGTCACTTCCTTTTTTTTTACCAGCCGCTGACATTGTGTGAGCATGTGTGGGTTTTTTTTTCTCCTGCTGCTGTTCTGAGAGGCAGCAGGAAACAGGAGCTGGGAGCAGGGAATCCCATAGGTGTAAACTTTGGGGGTGCTGAGGGACTCAAGCATCCCCCAGATTTGGCTGGGGAATGCTGAGCCTCCCCCGGGCAACCAGTGCCAGGCAATATTGACAAACTCACATGAGGGACTCAGTCACAATGGATGGCAGCTGAAGCCCCAGACTCCTATAAATGAACATCCAGGAAAACCTTTAAAATGTTCCCCCACAGGCTTTTCTGTGTTGCCTTTCTCCGTGTCAAACCTGTGGCCAGTAGTTTGTCCTATGCACATGGTATGTATATTTGCAGATCTTAAAGTGACTATTCTAAAAGTAAATTTCAAAAACGGGACACAGCGGGAGATCACTGAGATACCACTATAATGACTGGCCAACTCCCACCTTTTCCTAAATTTGGCCCAGCCCAGGGGTGCTGTTGGGAGGGTGGGTGCCCAGGGATGCCCAGGCCTTTTAAAATTTCTGAGGCGCCCCTCCCTAAATACTCCATCGTCAGTGTTCCCTCTAAGCTGAGTTAGTGTGAGCTAGCTCACAGTTTTTTAGCCTCCAGCTCACAGATTTCTGTCTTCGCTCAGGAATGATGGTTCCAGAGCAAACTACTTTATGCAGTAGCCCAATCGCTCGCTCACAACTTTAATGTTGGTAGCTCACAAAGTAGAATTTTTGCTCACAAGACTCCACAGCTTAGAGGGAACATTGTCCATGGTCCCTGCCTTCATAGAGAGTGGCAATGGAGGCCCCTCCCTGTGATGTCACTGGCTCCTCCCTGTGATGTCACTGGACCCCGGTTCTTTTGAAGACCTACCATAATAATGCATCCGGTCCAGCCCCAGCACCCCCCGGGAAATTGGAAAGTATACACCCTTGTTTCTCAGGACAATGGGACCCCCATTTTGGAGGGTTCAGTAGGCTGCAGCAGAAGAGAGGGATCCGCTGCTGCCCACTGTAAATACAAGCCATTATCTGATAACCCTTACAACAATCCTGTAATGTAGATCAGTATTATCTCCAGGGTGTAAACAGTGGCTTGAGACTGAGAAGCTGTGGCTTGCCTTACCTAAGGCTACCAGTGAGTTCAAAGAAGCACTGAGGAGATTCTGATTTCCAAATGGGCACTAAATTCTTCTATTGTTGATTTGCTGACCCCCCCCCCCCCCCCCGAAAGTGCTGGTACTCAGTACCAGTGTGAATGCTGTCTCAAAACAAAACAAAACAAAACAATGGGCCTAACCTATCTCACTGAGTTCTTGTGAAGACAAGATAGGGATGGGGGGGAACATATGCTGCTCTGAGGTCTTTGGAGGCAGGGTGGGATAGAATTACAGACAGAAACGTTGTTCCATGTTAAGTCCATTCCAGAAACAATGGCCTGTCAGTTTTCATTTACAACAGTTCATGACATTATCAGTTTTACTAACCTGGTATGGGTGGTGGGGTATGAATTGCCGGTGTGTCTTTTCTTTTTGGTTTTTTTTGTTCCAGGTCACTTTTCTGAGAGACCTGGAGAACTGTCCCCTTTCTCGGTATCTTTTTGAGTTCACAGCTTTTAAGTAACTGTTCAGAAAGATCATCTGCATTTGTAGAAAAAAGTGCAGTAATTTCTTTTTAAAATGCACATAAAACTCAGTCTTGGATATTCGTTTGTACTCCCCTCAAAATATGAAGTAAACGGCTGAGAGGAAAAATATGTAAATATGTAAATTAATTCAAAACACGAATTTTGTGAGGCATGGATGGATGGCAGAGAAAAATCCTGCCTTAGTCTATGGTAGGTGGGGTACTTCATAAGGTGAACACATAACAGAAATGGATGTATATTTTCTGGTTTCTTGAGAAATCCCACAACCATTTTCCCCCAGAACAATTTTGTTCCATTCACAGTACAAAAGCATTTGAAATGCTGGTCATCTATCAGATTGTGGTATTTTCATGACTGATTATATGACTATTTCTAAGACACACAACTTTGTCTGAAGCATCATAGCACTTTCCACAGCTGAGGTAAAATTAGATGTATGAAACAGCAAGTCTGAGCTACAAGAGAGGTGTATATAATATATTCAAGAGGCATTTCTCTCAAAATCTGAACATCTTCCAGCAAACTGTGAGTCTCCATGGAAATGTTTTTAAATGTCAGTTCAGGAGTTGACAAAAGAGGGCAGGGAAAAGCAGTATAACTCCCTGGGCAGCACTATGATTTAAAATAGTGTATAGAAAGCTTTCGTGGAACACGTGTAAGGGCTTATTAGAGGAGAAAAGGATGGGAAGCCCGTGGTTTTTCATCCCTTTCTTCTTCCTCTTCTGTAATTAATTTCTCTCTAGAGGTTTGGCTAATATTAATATGCTGAGCCCAGCAGAAAAAAAAGCACCCCACTCCGCCCCACCCGTTGCCTCTCCATCTGGCGTCAGATGCGTCACCAGAAGGCAGAGTCTATCGGGTTTCAGGAGAAGCAGTTGTTTGGCTGAGGGGAAAAGAGAGGGGGGTGGGTGGGGGGGCTTTGGACAGCACTTAATGATGTAAAGGAGACCCTTCTATAACAGCAGGTGCTGACATCACCTGCATAAGGCTGGCTTATGTGGCCGCAGCGACTGTCTCGCCCCTCCAGTCTGTCTTCGGAGATCTCACGTGGTGTCTGCACATATTCAGTTGACATCACTTAAGGGGGTGGAATGGTGCCTTTGGAAGCTGTTAAGAAACAAAATAATGCATGGTCTATACCAATGTATGCTAGGCTGATCGCGAAGAAAAGATCTCATTCTCATTTTTTGTTTTGCAGTTTGAGAATTGTTGGTTTATTTCTATGCGTCAGTAGGCTTGCCAGGAAGCAGGTGGCATCTGGATATCTCCTGCTATTACAGTTGATGTCCAGAAGACCATGATCGGATCCCCTGGAGAAAATGGCTGCTTTGGAGAAGAGATTGGATTTATACCCCGCCCTTCACCACCCAAAGGTGTCTCAGCGCGGCTTACAAACTCCTTTCCCTTCCCCTCCCCACAACAGACACCCTGTGAGCAGTGTTCCCTCTAAGCTGAGTTAGTGTGAGCCAGCTCACAGTTTTTGAGCCCCCGGCTCACACATTTTTGTCTCCGCTCAGGAAGGAGGGCTCCAGAGCAAACTAATTTATGCAACAGCCGAATTGCTCGCTCACAACTTTAATGCTAGTAGCTCACAAAGTAGAATTTTTGCTCACAAGACTCCACAGTTTAGAGGGAACATTGCCTATGAGGTAGGTGGAGCTGAGAGAGCTCTTGACAGAAACTGCTCTTTTTTCAAGAACAGCTCTTATCAGAACTACAGCTTGCCCAAGGTCATCCAGCCAGGTGCAAGTGGAGGAGTGGGGAATCAAACCCGGCTCTCCCAGATTAGAGTCCGCGCACTTAACCACTACACCAAACTGGGTCTCTATGGCATTATACTCCACCGTGGTTCCTCCCCTCCACAACCCCCACCCTCCCAATGCTCCAACCCTAAAATCTCCTGGTATTTCCCAACCCAGAGCGGCAACCCTATATGTCAGGTTGAATATTGTTTCTCACAACAACATACCTTTTCATGAGGAAGAAGAAATACCTGCCTGGTGTACAACTAGTAAAGGCACTAAAGCCCTGCCTTAAAAACCACCATCACTTTAAAATGAATCCCTAGAGCAAAATACACATACAACCAGTTGTTGAATGCTTTGGAGGTAGGGCAGAAATGCTGTTGAGTCACTAAACATTTCCAATATTTGGAGACCTTCTGCAATAGGACAATATGCACTATGGCCTAATAAGGTAAACTCAGCCCACTAGTCAAGTATTATGAACATAAGAACATAAGATCAGGTCAGTGGATCAGTCCAATACTCTGTGTTACACAGTGGTCAAGACCCAGGTGTCATCAGGAGGTCCACTAGTGGGTCCAGAACTTAAGAAGCCCTCCCACTGTGCCCCCCCAAGCACTGTGCCCCAGTCACAGTGTTCCATCTATACCTTGTGGCTAATAATGTACCTCTGCTCCATATGTTTATCCAATCCCCTCTTGAAGCTGTTTATTATTGTAGTTGCCACCACTTCCTGCAGCAGTGGATTCCTTGTGCTAATTACTCTTTGGGTGAAGAAGTACTTCCTTTTATCTATATTAAGCCTACTGCTCATCAATTGAGTGCCCACGAGTTCTTGTATTGTTGGAAAGGGAGAAAAGCACTTCTTCCTCTACCTCTATCATGTCACCCCTCAGTCATTGTTTCTCCAAGCGAAAGAGCCCTAACCTCTTTAGCCTTTCTTCGGCCCCGGGCACACGGGCCGGCTGAAACGCGGCTACTCAGAGCCGCTCCAAACTTGATACGCCGCGGCGGGATCCCACGGATCCCCTAGCCGCGGTGCAGCACTCCCCGGCACGCTCAGATGCCGGGGAAGAAAAGTCCGAGGGGAGGGGGGAGGCTGCCGAACTGCGCATGCTCAGGCATGCGCAGTACGGCTGGGGGCCGGGATGCGGCGGCGCAAGGACGCGCCGCCGATCCCACAGCCCTGCCTGCGCCGCACCAATGGATGCAACCACCTAGAGAGGTGGTTGTTTTTTGCGGCGCAGTTTGGGCCGTTGGGACGGATCAGGGACGGAGACGGCACGCTCGCCAGATGTTGAGGTGAGATCGCGCCTGTTTGCTCCGCCCCAGTTCCGTCCCGCTCCCGGCCCAAATGGGCTCGTATGAACGGGGCCTGCTGATGTGACCTTGGGTCAGTCACAAGCTCTGGCACAGCTGTCCTTGAAAAAGAGCAGTTTGTGTCAGAGTTCTCTCAGCCCCACCCACCTCACAGGGTGTCTGTTGTGGGGAGGGGAAGGGAGAGGAGTTTGTAAGCCGCTCTGAGACTCCAAGTGAAGGGCGGGGTATAAATCCAATCTCTTCTTCTTCTTCTTCTTCTTCTTCATAGGGAAAGTGTTCCAGCCCCTTCATCATTTTAGTTGCCCTTTTTTGCACTTTTCCCAATGCTATATCTTTTTTAAGGTGTGGTAACCAGAACTGTATACAGTATTCCAAATGAGGCCACACCATAGATTTATACAGGGCATTATGATACTGGCTGATTTGTTTCCAATTCCCTTCCTAATAATCCCCAGCATAGGATTTGCCTTTTTTATTGCAGTTGCACACTGAGTCCACATTTTCGTTGAGTTATCTACCACAACTCCAAGATCTCTCTCCTGGTAAGTTATGGTCTGTCAGGAGCTTGAGTCAGTCACTTTCATTCTGTTGTATGCGGCCTCAAGGAAGCAGTGTAACTAGGAGAGTTAGCTCTCCCTAGTGAGCTGCTACACGTGGCATTTGGCTTGAATGGTCCCACATGCTGACCTTTCCTAGAGAGGCCACCTCTTTCTCCAACCTCAGCCTCCTTCATTTCCTTTCACTACAATGAGTGCCTGCAAGTTAAAAACCATACAATATTTAAACAATCGGCTCATTGTCTCCTTTGTCTCTTCTGTGTCAGTGAAAGTCAGAAGGTTTAGGGCAAAATATAATGTTCAGGAGGATGCAATCCCAAGGACACTCTTCTCGAAGTAAGTTCCTTTGAATAACAGGGGGCTTACTTCTGAGTAGATCTGCTTAGGTGCTCCCCCTCCCATATCATGAAATTTAAGAGTTGGACCCCATTGGTAATTTTCATGCATGCAAGGGCAGCAGTTTTCACTAGTTCCCCCCTCCCTATACTGCAAATCTCTGACTCCCTGTCATCTTGGACTAGCAGGTGAAGGGGAATTTGGGGCTACAGTGTGGGTTTCATACTCTGCTAATGCAAATCATTCTGTCCGTGGAGAGTATCAGAAGCAACCATACCAAAGTTTTCTGCCCTACCCCCAAACCAGTCAACAAATGGCTGTATGTGTAATTTCCTCTAGGGATTCATTTTAAAGTTATGGGGGGGGGGGGTTGAGGCAGGGCTTTAGTGCCTTTACTAGTCGCATATCAGGCAGAAATCCAGCAGGTGAAGCATGTCTCAGCATTTCATTTCCATGCTGGGAAATCTACATCAGGTGAATTTCTGCCTGTTGCACAGCTGTTAAACATATGGTACCTCTGACAGAAACAAAGATAGTAACACTAGTATGAGGTAATCCCTGCAACCTTTTTTTCTTGTACTCTCTCTTAGGTGGATCACCGGAAGTTGTAAGAAAGAAAACAGCACCCCTCAGCACCCACAGCCATTTCTTTGGATCTGGACAGCAGAGCTTATAGGTATGTTCCCTGGCATTTGGTTCAGCAAATTTGATATGATGCCATATCTTCCCTGCCTCTAGAGAGTGTGTGCATGTGTGTGCGCGTGTGTATAGTTGGAGCCAATCAGGGGAGAAGTTAAAAGGGGAGGAGTGGCTGTCTTTGGCCACTAAAAAAGGATATGCAGGGGATCATGGGAGCTGAAAGGGGGGGGAAATCATGGAGGATGGGGCTTGTGCAAGGAAGAGGATTCAGTGAGATTGAGCAGAAAAGCTAGCTGGATCCAAGCTGTAGTATAGATTGATATTCTTAAATAAAGTGATATTTCCCCTCACCAGTGGCTGGCCATATTCATAAGCATGTCCACAAGGATTGCAAAACCTTCTATGAGGTTTGTTGAGATATAATTGGTATTCTATCTACCACAAAAAAGGCGAGTATAAACAAGCCGGCGGTGTGATTTTTATAAACCTTTATGTGATTTTATAGCCCTAGTGTGTACTTTGATTGGATTTAACCATTCTTTTATTAGCAAACAATTAACACAAGCATGAATGCTAATGGCTTAATAAGAGATTTATCTGCTGATCCAGCTGACACAGGCTGTTTTACAACATAGGGCTCTCTGTTTTCTTGTGTTAAATATTATTCACGATCATAACATGATTTCCACAGTTTATTGTTAACCCTTGATAGGAAATCTAATACTAGAACCTTAACATGAATCTGTCAGATTCAATAGAGACCTATGCTTCTGGGCTTTGGAAGGTATGAATAGTGGCTAGGGCACTAGACTAGGATGAGGGAGACCCAGGTCAAAATCTCCACACTCAAGAACAAAACGGGGCGGGGGGGGGGGGGGGGGGCACACGAACAACACAGGATTTTGAAAGAAAGAAACTACACAGTAAAGACCTCTGGAAAACATAAACAAACTGATAACATGCATACATATATGCGTATATATGTTTTTCATGTGAAAATACAAAATCCAAGATAATAATGCACTATGTAATATGTGACAATGTCCAGCACAATTTAAAGACACATTGGGGGGTATACAAATACGTAGATAAGGGAAATCGCAGATGAGCTCCCAAGTATTACTTGTTTTGAAAACAATCTTCTTCAGAGAGTTCTAAATCTTCCCATTAATGGGTTCTGTTTTCCCACATACATCTAAGAAGAAGATAACATAGCATATTGTGTATGATGGTAACTACAGCTCTAAAATTCCAACAGATACAATCCAATACTATCAAATATGTATGAAGAATTAATATAGGGAACAATAGGAGGAGGAGGAGGAGGAGGAGGAGGAGGAGGAGATTGGATTTATATCCTGCCCTTCACTACCCAAAGGTGTCTCAGAGCGGTTTACAAACTCCTTTCCCTTCCCCTCCCCACAACAGACACCCTGTGAGGTAGGTCGGGCTAAGAGAGCTCTTGACAGAAACTGCTC